TAAATATAATCTAAAGTGCTAGTTTTATGTAGGATACAAATGTGTAGCTATAACAATGAAATCCCTAGCCGAGATTATTATTTTACTACGTGAGCTCTTTCGCCTTTTGTCTGCTTAGGCATCTCCTTTTTGAGATTTAATCCGATTATACAGCATTATTATACATTACATTTAAGTTTATACTTTATAAATTGTTTATCTTTACTTATTAAGCAATAAGTAAAAAAATCGAATTATATTTATTTTTATTGAATGCAACCAAAAATAATATACAATTATTATAATATTAATAAAATATTTGGACTTGCTCTATGAATTTAAAATAAAACGTCATAGCTGGAGCTCATCCTGTTCCTTCTTTATGCTAACCACTTACAAGTGCAATATTGCATTCTAGCTACAATATGAATGTGTACGGAAACACTTTTGTGTACACGTTTTTATTTAGAAATGTATTTATACATATAAAAATATTTTTATTTATTTGAATAAACATTTTATTTCCATTGAGGTAACGTTTTGAAACAAACTAAGCCTTTTGGGAACCATTCGATATATTTACTTTAACGAATAGTTGCCTACTACATAAAGTTTCCAACCTATTAACTATCTATGTAAAAAAGTAGGTACTTATATCAACTTCAAAATTACTTTAAAGTATAATTCCATACTTATTCCTTTGGAGTTATTTTTATACTATTAAAATAAACAGGAATAATGAAAACCGATTCGGAATTTGCGAAATATCCTCTAAAATATAGATGAATGGAGTACCTCTCCCTTTATGAAGTCGGTGAAAATATCAAGTAGGTACAATATAATATAACAATTGCGCTTTCATAAAGAATCAATATTTGTTTTATTATTTACGAAATATTGCATTTTTTTTATTATTAGATCTTAAGTAGCTCATAAGTAGGTAAATACTAATCTATATTCTTTTCTTTCTTTCTTTTTTTTCTTTCAAGTCTATATGTAATACTATGTCTTACATAAATCATATTTTTTATATATCATTAAGCATTTTTCATTTTAGTTTATGTACTATTAAAATAAATAAAATCTCTTCGTATGTACCTATCAAATAAACTGTTGAAATATAAAACAAGTAGTCTTCAGTAACATTGGTAAAAAATCCCGGGATAAACTAACATTAAGTGCCGATACACTTTCGATGAGCGTTTTATACACTTAAACTCGACGCTCTAATGGAGTTCGTAAATAGCGTTAGAAATCTTTCAATTACTTATCTATATATTTTAGAAGATTTTTCCTTAGCCTACCATTACTCGTATATCCGTTGCTTTATTGTAGATATCAAATTTCTAATGAATATTTCAATGTTATTTATTTATTAATGTAACATAAAATATATGTATGTTATACAAAATAAAGCAACAGAATATCTTAATTAAATGCCTAATTTTTATTTAAATCTATCTACATATTATTATGTAGTTAGTAATTTACTTCAAACGAGTTTCTAGCTATTCAAAATAGTAGAGCTGTTATAAAATGTTCTCTAAGAAAAGTTTTCTTTTCAATGGCGGATAGAACACAGAATACTGGCTAATCCCAATTCAAGAATTTCTTACCTTCAATTTTCTATTGAGTTCTAGCGTTTATTCATGTTTCACTTTCAGAAAACATAAAACATATAATAATACGATATTTATACAAAAACATATAGGGCTTAAGCTATAAGTGTCAAAGTAATATTTAAGCTATAAATATATACCTATTTATAATTATACGTGTGCCTTCAAACGTAACTTAGATCAATCGTAACTGAATCTTTACATAGTATAAAATGAAGTCGCTTCCGCTGTCTGATCGGTTAGATCTTTTAAACTACTCAACTGATTTTATGCAGTTTTCAGCAATAGATAGAGTAATTCAAGAGGAAGTATTATTTGTATAATACATGTATATTATTATAGTACTGAAAAGCCGAGAAATTCAAAGATACCGTTAAAACGTACTTAGGGACGTACTCGAGCGAAGCGAGGGTGAGTCGCTAGTTGTAAATACTCGTATAACTAAAAGAAAGTTATTTGAGAAAATATAATTTAGAAAATATATTATAAAGGAAAAAAATCTAGCCTATTTATATAACGGTGGGTTGATTGTTACCACAGTTACTCCGTATTTTAACAGGTTTATGATAGGTATGTATATCATCACTAACTAGTTTTTTTACTATGAAATTACAACAAAATATCCGCTGATTGTGAATTATATTGTTTCCATTTAGGAGGTAACGTGACGAGTTTGTTAGGGAGTGGGCTAATGTAATTGATTATTTTCGAATCTTCAAACGGACACTTGGCGTTTCCTATTCCAGAATGATAAAATAGGTTTTATTATTGGGCATAATAATAGAAAAAAGTGAAAACGATGCTTTAACATAAATACAACATACACCTATAATGCCTCGTTGGTCTAGTTGTTAACATGTATGCCTGCAAATTACGTAATAGATTCGAGCCACAGATCGGGCCAAGTATCGTTATAGAGTTTTTTTATTAAAGAATTCGATGTAGTAGCCTGGATTTGGAAAGTTCACGGTGATAAGCTCCCGTGCGCCCAATCTCTCTCCGGTCGTGTCGTATTAACATCAGTTGTGAATTGAGAGTAAAAAGAAAAGAATTTATCCTCTTTATATAGAGAGTCTAATAATTTTTAATAGACATTGTAAAGTTTCATATTAGAAGCGTAATAAAAACATTAATATATCAAACGCTATACCTACTATTCTCACAAACGCATAAAACGTCATACGATCAACAATTGTACGACCACACGATATTGTGTTTCTAGTTGTAATGTTTTTTGCTCGCAGCCATACGGACCATATATGAGACTTGTTGAAAGTGATATTACTTTTATTTAATGATGTTTTACTTGAAATTTGTTACAGCATATGTTCTAAACATTTCATTGTTATGATATAAGTATTTTTACCTAAATGGTGAAAAATGTGTGCCTAACATTTAGTTTGCTTTGAGAGCTTCCTAGAGTGCTAATCTGATCAATGAATACATTAATTTTGATATAACTTGCAATAATCTAAATCGAATCTATGCGTGCGATTACTGTTGATATAATTATCAATTATTATTTTTATGTTTTCATTCATTTCATTCATTCAAAAAAAGTTGAATTTCGACCATTATTAAGAAAGATATGAGCAAAAATCACAAAAAGAGCGGTTTTGAACTAGTTATGAAAAAATCTCAAAACCAGGAAGCTTCTTTTGAGGGGTACTAAAAGTACCAAAATATTAAGAAAATCAAAAATTATTTTTTTTGGAACCATCGGATTTGGCCCCATTATATACATATGTATGTATGTACTGAGCTAACAATTTTAATAATTAATAAATAATCATTACTAGTAATTATTAGTACATTTGACTCTTTTTTTTTTTTTTTTTTTTTTTTTTTTTTAACGTTGGGAAATGCATTTACGCACGACGTGTGGGACTCACCGGCGTCATACAGCCAGTACTACCCACTAAAACCCAACAAAACCTTCCCCCGTCTTAATGGGGCGTCGCAGGATCGCTTACGCATTCAACTACGACGCCCCGACGGCAGGTCTGCCGAAGCAGACCACAACAACCACGGGGTTGCTCCACAGTCCACTCTGCTATCAGAGAAGTACCAGGAGCAACCCGCAAGGTACACTGCCCTCCGAAGAGGGCCACCTCCCACCGCCCACCGAAGTGGGCCACCTCCCTGTGCGTTTCTTGGCTTCGCGCCCGGTTGGGTTGCCGGGCACTACTGAGCCCCCCCACCACGACAAGGTGAACGCACGTTGGGGGGGAGTACATTTGACTCTAGTTTTAAATAAAATAAAAGAGAAGTAGTTGGATGTGGTTCATAATTCTTTGTTTTCAGAACAACCATTGAATTGAAAAGCAATTAATTAGAGAACTTTTATTTTGCTCGTGATTTTAAAACCTATTACAACAGTTTTGTGTGGTATGTATTTCAACGTTAAAGTTAAATTCGCTTACAAGTTTAATTTAGCAAGTGTGACTCATTGGTAACATGATCGCTTTGTAAATAAATTGTAGCGGATTCAAACCCGTTTGTGGAAGGTGGTGTGCTTACGACTTTAGAAGCATATAACTGGAAAACTTTAGCACCTTTCAATTTTATGTAGGTATGAAGACTACCTGTATCTTTCTATTTTTTTTAAATAGATAACATATCTAGCGGTTATAAATATTATCTAGCGGTTTATATTAGACCCTTTCTAAAATTTACCTATGTTATATGTACCACCAAAAGTTTCCGAGTAAAATGTCTATGATGTATAGAGATACGCGTATTCATCATCTGCATCTGAGATTCAATTTTTAGTTTTGACTACTAAAAAGAAAGTGAAATGAAAAAGGTGACATCTTTTGAATAGTTTGTTTAAAATACGAAATTTAGTGGCAAATCAGTTTTTATGTACTCGTATAGTGAGCAAGGCTTAATTAATAAATAATATAATATAATAATTATTATACTACAATTATGATAAATAGCCAAAATTTAAATTATGAGTAGGTACATAAGAACTTTTATGTACTTAAAAACATCTGTATTGTATGTACACAAACAACACTTAAGATTTTTTATTATCTTATATAAAAAAACATAAAAGGCGCAATCATGCTAAGATATTAGAGATATTAGGGAGATGCCTACATCCGCTGAGTTAGAAACAATGCGCCATAAGTCCTTGTAACGGAACGGAACTTTAATATCAGTGTAAGAACGCCGGAAAGCTATGTAGCGACATGATACCGTTAAGGAGGTACTTACCATGTATAAAAGCTTTTGTAAAAATAGATGTGTAATATAAGAGATTATAACTCTTTGCTCCACTATACTATATATTTCCAGGCATATTATTCTTATAAAAATATAATTTATTTAGATCTATACGTAATAATAGGAATATGTGAGTGATAATGATACTTAATTGCAAATGAGTAAAAGAAAATGTTAGCTTGTGTGTGCCAGCCAACGGAGACTGCGCTATTATTTAAAGGAGGACCACCAGTTACAATGGGGCCATTAGGTAGCAGTAAAATGCGTGAAAATTCTACAGATGTTATGAAAATAAGCATTTTTCCCAATCCAGAGCATCATATTGACGAGTGCGCAAAAGAAAGGTTGACTTCATTAAAATCATTATCTTCTTATACCGACGCATCTGGAAATCTTTTAAATTTACGTAAAATAGAACGTAAAGCTAAATCTACCAAAATTTTAGTCAATCCGGTATGTCCGGATAGTATCAGCGATGATAGCAACACTTCAAAGTCAGCGGGTGCAAAGTGGAATGGTAAAAAGAAACGGCTAAAACTGGCAGTTGTCAAAAATGAAAATGTAGACAATCCGAATGTAGAGAATAAAGAAATTAGTCGCGACGAAGCCAAGGAGGATAAAAAACCAATATCGTGTTTTAAAATCAAAAGCTGGGAAGATAAATCACGTACTAACGAAGACAGAAACTCGGGCCGAGAAAACTACACTAATGAAAATGCAAGCAATTCAATGAGCGCAGAAAAACCCGATCTCATTAGACATTCGAGAAAAAATAGCAAAGAGACATTAATAGATGAAGGCACTATGACCGACGCATCCTTAGGTACTGATCAGTTCGCAAGAAATATTGACAGTGCAACGACGGGTAAGAAGGACGAGGTGAGTCATCATATTTATTTACTTACTGTTTACTGTTTCTTGTAATTTCACAGGGCGCAATTATTGTGTAATATGTTTTATATATACGTAGTTTGATTTTATTATAGTAACAGTACAATGAATGTATCATTAACAAGTGAATTCCTTTATACTGAACTAGGTTTGAAGAGGTTGATATAATTAAGTAGCTATATTTAATTAACTATTGGGATAGCAGAACACTGCAAATTTTTTAAAAAAGTCTAATTATGTTTTGTTCATAATTTATATAGAATATAATAATAAAAATATATAATATTTAAATGCGACCTAACTTAAAGATAAAAAGATGATTAGTCGACTAATTTTACATAGAATTGAGTTCATTGTTAGTATTTCTGTCGCCTTCGTTGTGCGGGTCAATCTGTATGCTAATGAAGCTCGGAAACATTCTAGGCTTCTTTCTCTTCTTATCCTTATTACTTTTTGTCTGGACAAATGCCTTTCTATTTTATAATCAGTTAAGTAATAAAGACATTTAATTATTTTCGAAATTTAATTATAATATTATTAGTTTATTATTCGGTTTTGAAGAACTAACAAATCCGATAAATAACGTAAAATACATTTTATTGAACACGAAAATATATAGTAGATACGATAATCATATAATGAAAATATGATATTTTTCGTTGTGATTTTTCAGATTATCAAATTAATGCGGTCTAATACTTTAACGTTACCGTACAAAACAATCTTATTTTTTTGTACTCTCTCCCCTGAGGTCCTAATTTATTTACGAAATGTCTAATACAAATGTATTATACGTGGTGGTAAAGCTCCCATGAAAGATTATCAAATTTTACAACATTATTATATTTCGAGTTTGTTTATACTATCTAATAAACCAGTCAATAGGTAATCTTTGACTTACAAAAGGTCAAGGAGAATCCTAATTTGATAAATTTGTACAGTCTTATGTCCTTATAAACCCAAGTTTTCAATAGATGTTAAGCAACCGTCCTATACCCGGTATTACATAACCATATACGAGTATGTTAAGTGTAGCTGAAATACAGCCCTAATTTACTACCTAATACTAATAAAAAGTAAAGAATGTCTTATTGAATCGTAAATAAATAAACCATGCAAAACCACGAGTAATAGTTTTTTTATTATATTAGCTTTATAAGTTATAAATATAGACTTCTATTAGAATGAATTTTATTTTAACGTAAGACCTGCATATTCTGTGCTTAGCAAATCATATGAAAGCCTCTTTATATCAGAAAGCTTAGTAATTACCCTGAGAGCGTCATGTCAAACGAGCGGAAAGCATAATGAATTATGATCGAATAGATTTCTTTTTAGATCTTTATGATTATTAAGAAATGCTTATAAAATGTTTGTATATAATATAAGAAATATTAGAAAATAACAATTGGAATTTTATAAGTTAATTTGACGCTCAAATGATTCTAATTTCCCAACTTATAAAGAATGCCATTTTTGTTACCGTTTTAATAAAAACTTATCAAAGTTGTTTTGAAATCGAACCCTTTTTATTTCGTAGTTAAAAGTTTCGTTTGTCTTCTAAGGGTTTCCTAAACTTTACAATTTTCTACTTTGGCGCATTTGCATTTGTAAGGGATCTTTATCAGCGCTCTTATTTTTTTACTGTAATTTACTGAAATCTTTCTCATTATGTTTTCCTTAATGTAATATTTTTCATTATCCAATTATATAGTTTTGTTATATTATACTATAGTTTATTAATTATTTTGTATTGAAAAATATATGAAGACACATGTTATAATAATGGAGTTAAAAGTGAAAAAGTAGGTACGTTTTAATAATTGCTACCATGTTGACTTTGTTCACATATTTATTTAATATTTTTTACAAAATAAAGTTAAATAACATCGCAAGGTTTTTGATAAATCTCCTTTTTGATAAATTTTCTTTTTACTGTTAAACTTTCTTACTGTGCGTTGTTTTAATGATCTATAAAGAAAGTATTATAATATAAAATAAAACATCCAAAACGAGGTTAAGTTCTTAATAGACTGAAAAATCCTGTAAAGCTTCCTTTTTCATTTTTAGGTTTGGAACCCTAAACGTAATATCCACGTCAATCCATTGCTGCGTTAAAGAAGGACGAACAAAAAAAACATTAAAATGGTTTTTAATTATATTTTTTTTACAAAAACATAGTATTCTGCTCATGCCGGAGATTAAATTAGTTGGGCTTTAATCAGTTATGAAGTTTACTCGGAGTCGAGCGTGCTGTTGGCTTTGTTCATAACTTAGATAACCTTGTAACATTATAATGTGAAATTTCAATTTATTTCGCTACTATTTAATGGAAAACACCTTTCTAAAGTAAGAAAAACAAAAAAAAAACATATATAATGGAAGCATTATTATTAAATGTACCTTTTTTAAGAAACTTAGATACGTATAGGTATTATTTTGACATTGATTTTGATCTATAATTTCGTACCCTTTTTTACTACTAATTTAAATAATACTACCGTTTATTTGAAATTAATAAGCTTACATACTGCAAAAAAAAGGTGTATCTACACAGGTACCCTTAGGTCTAACCAGGTGTTATAGGAAAAATTGTAATAAGAGCACCACCGATTTCTTTTAGACTTATTTATATTCAACATTTAAATCTATAATAGATTCATATAACATTCTTTAAATTTTAAAATAAAAAATTGCTCAATATGGAAATAGAATAAAGGAATCTAATCGATAAGATGCTAGCGGCTTACACTCGCTTCGCTCGGATTCTATGTCAGTGCTATGTATGTATATGATAATTTATGTTATGTGCTATTCCAGACTCAAATCTATCTCTGTGCCAAATTTTATCCAGATCTGTTAAGCCGTTTTGGCGTGATTGAGTAACAAACATCCAAACATCTAAACTTTCTCATTTATAATATTAGTAAAATTCTCTATGTTCTTACTATAAACATTTACTATACCTACTCTTTTAAAAAAAAGCAATTCAGGTGACCGTCGTTATGTTGCCATATTTTTTGTTACAAAGAAAACACATAAATAACAGACCTTTAAACTACCTATTGTAAGAGAATATCGTAATATTCTGTCCTAAATATTTATTTATTCAAAACATTAAGTCGATTTCAGACTCAGCATAAGAGTAACCAAATTGTTATGGCTATACCCATTGAATATGCGTTACAGGCCTAAATAAACGTGATATGCATGTAGATGAGAAAGACGACACGACACATGGATGTTACACTGTTACTAAAAAACCCTTTTATGAACTGATTGATCTAAGCCACCACCAGTTCCCTTACTTCTTCGATCAACAGTATTATTGATTTATTAGATTGATTATATTAGATTATTTTCGCCTTTTATAAAAAGTGATTTATCACTTTTTATAAAAGGCGAATTTGACGACCCGTTTGGCTCAGTTTGTAGTCCCGCTGGGGGACTTCATTTGTGTGATGAGCACAAATATTTGTACTCCAGTCATGGGTGTTTATATTTATAATATGTATCTATTTAAAATTTATATATGTATAATGTAATAAAATATGTATAATGTAATAAGTATCTGGTATCAATAACACAAGCCTCGTAACTTATCATGGAACTAGATGGTGTTGTGTGTTAATGTCCTGACACTTTATAATATCAAATACACTTATATTTAGCACTTCAATTCTTGTAATTCTTGTACGGTTGTTATTAGTTAGGAACTTTGGGCTAAAGGTTTGAAGTATGTTAATGTGAATTGCTGTGGGGATTAGCCATCTTTGTATAAGCAAATTTTTGTTCCCACCGACAGGGCATTTGAGCGACTTACGCAAAATGTTTCAGACTTTTCTACAAAGTACGAATATGTAATAATAATATGAATGTATTAATTACCTTATTAATAAATTATACATATTAGTATTTTTTGATAATAAAGATAATATGATGAAATTCCTGTCTTAAGATAGTAAGCCAGGTAAATAAACTCTGTACCTATATCTTCTTCATATAGATTTTTCTGCGACAAAACTGCTGTTTTAAGTATGAAGTATTAAATTTAAAAAATCTACCATTATGTTTCTTAAATATTATTAGAAATAAGAAATTACCGATTTATGTATTTTTAATTTATATGTTTTCATAAATAGTTAAGTTTTACGAGTATGATCGAAATAAGAACAATGTTACAAAAAAAATAAAAAAAAATGTGTTCTGACCCTCAGTAACGTCTACTACCATTCGGAAAAATAATGCCTTACTCCTGAACAGAAGTAGCGAAGGAAAGTCAGCGATCTTTTTTTTTGTTGTTTTTAAATAAAATTATAATTATATAAAAATGGTCTGAAGAGATCACATGCTTCCCAATGTTAATTTCTATGGACAATTTTTTTGTACCTACCATATTACCTTTAACCTTAGGTATATAATATAATAATATTACATTCGTTAACATTGTTTATCAAATCAATCAACAAACCATTAATAATATCATTACACACGAAACATTTTCGCTAAATGTTATTCATTATTATGATTTTTATTTGTATAATATTTATTATTTACAGAATAGTTTTTTTAATGAAGAACAGGCCCACAACAAATTGCGGCTTATAACAATAAAATTCATATTGATTTGTTCCTTATAAAATATGATCATGATAATAATTGCTGTAGGTACATGATATTATCTAAATTACCTTAACAAAAGACCTTTTAAATGATAAAAGTTTCGTACCACTCCTTTGAAATAAAATACAAAAAATGTAGGGCAGCTCCGCTCTCGTGGTACAGTCAATAAAAACTGTTAAATAAAATGTTATGTTAAATAATATTAACATAATCGTTAGTCTATGATATAAGCTATTAATTCAGTCATTACAGCATGAAAAAGCAACAATCAAACTCAATCATAAGATTTTTCATTAATCGCATAATAATAATTGTGCCTTTTATCACTTTCTCGTCAAGATTGTACAATTATTTATAATAATAAT